CGGCTACATGGAGGCTCCCAGCCGCCATCGTAACTCCGCATGAGGCTTTATTGAGTCGCCCCGATCCCACGAATCGAATAAAAATAACAACTTACATCTGCGTGCGCGGGGTCTATGAGACACTTTGATTTGTCAATCTATGAGCAGTACATTGCTTAATACGATATTGATTTGAGCGCTCGAGAATTGAGTTCGAGAATTGAGTCCCTCGAGAGCTCAATTATTTGGGCGTCCTGGACCAGACCAAGTGAAGTCGGCCATGGATGGCGACGTTTGAGTATGTACGTCGTCACTTGAAATTGCAATCTTTGGCCAGTCAGGAGGCCTGAGCACAATTCCATCCTTTGAAAGATTGGACAGTCTTGAGAAACGATTTCATTATTCGCGGACAGCACATTATAGACATTAGATTTCATAGAACGAATTGTGAGCAAATAACAGGAACTAGGGGGTGGGAAATGGTGAAGATAGGTAGCGTAGCGGGAGGTTATTTGAGCCGACTAGTTGTTAGTAGGGACTGCCGCGCAATGATACTAGCGGCGTCAGTCATCACCCTGGGAACACCGTCTTTGCCTACAGTTGTGAACAACTTGTCGAAGTGCGGGCCATGACGCTCGCGAATTTGTGCCGCCTCCGCCTTGCGGTCGGACCTCACCTCAGCAATAATCTCCTTGACTTTCATTTTGGTTCCATCACCGCGGGTGTACTTTGTCCAAAAGAGAGACTCTGAACCGGCTTTCTCGTATTCAGACATCAGGGCCTGTGAGCGAACGACGTAAGAACAGCGGCCCAGGAGTGCAACGCTCAAACTTACCAACCACTGACTGTAATTGTTCTTGATTCTCCCCCACCAATGGGTCCCATGGTATAGTCGCGGATAGTCGATTAACTGTATGAAAGCTCCCTGCGTTTTGATCCAGTTGCTGTCTGGTCTCCACTCCGGCCAAGTCTTGTTCCAATGACGAGCGATGGTGGCGATAGTATCTTTGGCCTCCAAAGAAAAGAAACCGTCCGCCGGCGGAGCGGGAATGGCCGATAAATCAGGTGCAATCGGGCCGCGCTGGCGTGACTCCTCCGGAGTGCAAGTTGCAACCGATGTCGTGCTGGTGGGGAGTATAGCTGGGTGTTGTTGGTGGCGCAGCTCATGGACAGAGGGTGTCTTCATGACGGGCCCTGCAAAGCTCGGTGCGGCCCAGGTCGGAGTGGGGGCATTGCCACGCTGCACAGCGGACGGCCCCATGGGGGCGGAAGTGCTGTAATAGTAATAGCCAGGTTCTGGGTTATGCGCAGTGGGTGGGAGACGTTGGGCAAGATACTGAAGGATGCTGTTGTTGGTAGTCATCAACTGCATCACTTCCTGCCGCCATTCTCCCTCATTCTACGATAGGTTTGGCTCCGGATCTATCGAAGTCTGATATGGTAAGTGGCGTACCTGTTTGACCGGGGGTTCACGTTCAGATGCGGGTAGAACTGGATTGTCAAATACGACTTGGTCGACCTACAAAGCTCTGGAAGTCAGCGTCAGAGGAGCGTAAAAACAAGAAAAACGCACGTAGTCCAATATGAATTTTGCCTGCTCCTCGCTCTGCTCGGGGGCCAGGGCAATATCCGCTGGGAGTAACGTTGACACGAGAGCGGGCGGTGCTGATATACTGCCGCTTGCTAAAAGCTCATCTCGGCGGAGTGTGACTTTAGTCTTGACGGAGCCAGGTTGCTGTCCTTTGTGCATTCGATGCGCCTGGGCTTGTAGACTGTAGAAGAAACATCAACACAAAAGCCAAGCTCATGAGGTAGGGACAGTACTTTGTCCAATCCCCCGCGTCACTGTATGCTTTGAGGAGACCAATGAGGTCTCCCCGCGACATTGCAGAGCCAAAGCTGATTCCATAAGCTTTGCACGTCGCCTGCAGTTCGCTTTTGTCTTTTGACCCTCTAGTTTAGTTCAGTTCCGATTGAGTGAGTGAGCAGCAATTGTCGAGAAGAGAACGAACTGATATACACTCACATGTCAAGAGCGGCAACCATTCTAGTCCCATCTGCATTCAGTTGGGCTGCGGGGAATCGATATACGTGGACGCCAGCGGCTTTCGGGACTCTCGGCCGTTGGACCTTGGACTTTTTGCTGGGGCTGGGAACGGAAGCAAAAGTATGGATCAGCAAAAAGAACTACTCAAAAACGAGTGAAAATATAGAGAAACAACACACAGCTCCAGATGCTCCGGATCAGTTGACTGGATTTGCGAGAATGGTCGCCGAACGCCCATCGTATCAGAGGGGGGCGGAGTAGGCGTGCAGGAGGGAGTTCGTCGACGGTTTAGCAAGCTCGTTCTACCGAAGCGACGACGAAGGACTTGGACACCGAATATGACCGGGACAATCACAGCAACGATGAAAGCCCAGTAGTGGTAGTAGAGGGCTACTGCTGCTGCAGCAGTGGCAATGGACGTGGACGTGGACGTGTTATCTGTTGGGGTCCGGGAAAGAAGAGACGGGGATGCTGTGGAGGCGGTAGCGGTTGTGGTCGACGAGGGGACAGCCGCTGTTGTCGTGGTTGGGAACAGTAACAGTCCGGCGAGTAACAGTCCGGCGTCGGCGGCGGCGGCGTCGTCGTCGCGGGCAAACGATGCAGATGTCCTGAATTTAGGGCAAGGCGACGTGGTCAACAAAGCGTGGTCAACAAAGCGAACTCAAAAGCCATGACCAAATCTCAAACGGGCATGGCATTGCATTGAGCGAGCGGAGAGAGGGAGGGAGGGAGGGAGACAGGGGTTTTGAGCGCGACGCGCCAACTCAAATCAAAAACAAAACAACAAACAAACCAGACAGGACAAACAAACCGCCGGCGGCGAACATCCAATCACACCAACAAATCCAATCCGGCGACCGGCGGGCGCCGGGCGGCTTTCCCCATCTCCCAATCGGGAAAGAGTCACGTGCGCGGCCAAACAAAGCGCGGCAACCGGCGGCAGCGCGTCAGCGCGTGACCCAGACGTCTTTTTCCGCAGAGAAGCATATAGCGTTAGGTTCTGAATTTTTCGGTGTTGCACCGTGCATCATCGTCTACCAAATCTCTTTGAAGTGATAATAAGATTGCAGTGATTCTACGACTGGATGTATGTATACATCGCTAACAGTTCCAAGGATGGCATAAATGGCATTCTGAACCAATCGACCCGACAGGAGTCCGATTGATGCATTAGGTACGCAGAATTTGTCAGTTTAGCACTGAAATGCGGATGCATCCCGCAAAACCTTTTTTCGATTCGAAGGCTTCCCCAGGACCTCGGACAATCTCCCAGGAACCCGTTTCCCTTACCCGCAATCGCCGCGAGAATACTGCGGGTTCCCAATTTTCAGGTGATCTACCCGAACTTTGTATGTGGCTTTACTTGAAAAAGAAATCGTGTAAAATTAAGGAAATTTTGCGCCCTAGATTGCTCCAGGCTGCATCATAACTAGCTTATTGAAGAGCCTTTTCGTGTTCTTGAATTCGCCTGAATGCTTACAGCAAACCTTGAAGCAGTTCCAGTTGATTCAGAAACAATGGTGGGTTGTTACGGAAACATTGACAGGCGCCTGGACGGCAAAAAAAGCGATATGCCAAGAGAGCCTAACCCAGTTTAATCACACTACAGACCACTACCCCGGCCCATGGCATACATCTGACAGTAAGCCTCTCAAGATCCACTTAATACACGTGGCCCACCTCGACCCCTTACCCGAAGTGCAACGGGTTAGCCTATAAGCTTGAGCGCTTTACCCGAATTTTGAAACGGGTCCAGGTGCAGGCCAAATCTTACCCGAATTCGCATCGGGTCCTGCGTCCCTCGATCACGGATTGACAAATAGTAACAATTGTAAGCATGGCGTTAATGCGGCGATAACCCGGCGGGACGTTGCCAATTTCTCGACGTCGGTTTAGTAATGCATTATCTCTGCTTTGGTATAAACGCGAGTGCATACTCCGCTTAAACAGCACAGTTTCCATTTTTGCTTTTTTTACCGTCTGGTCTGTCGGCCGCGTGTACACAAATATTACCATCGTATCACCATGTCTTGCGCCGAATGGTTGATTCCCCTTGAGTAATGCGCATGACGTTGGGTTCTGTATCTTTTCAGTGTTGCACTGCATCTCCCGCTGAATTTTTTACCAGTCTTCGAGGTGATGATAAGACTGCAGTGATCCTATGACGAGGTGTAGGTATACATCACTGACATTTCTTAGGCATGCCCCTAATATTAATGGCGAGGTATGTAGTACCGGTTTTGCATTGCAACGCAATCCGCAAAACGTTTTTTTAAATCGCCGACTTCCCTCCACGAACGTGGATTGGCGATGAAACTGAAGTGATCACAGAGCACCTACATATAGATCACTAGTACGACACTTTCATTTGCACGCACCTACGGTGTTGGAATCTCTACCATCAAGGCAGATTTGTCGCAAGCTACTTAGACTTACTTACAATATGTAAAAGAGTCACGTCACAAGGCCTTATGTATAATAACTGTTATCGAACTCTTCGTATTTTCGGGGTTTGTAGGCTCTTGTAATGCCACATACCTTATAAGAGCAAAAATTGATAAGAGCAACAGCACAACATTTCTGATGGTGGCGATACCCGAAAAAAGCACTCGCTGAGGATGCATTCGCACTGAGAAGTTTTAAGGGTAATCGAACCGTCTTTGGCGGGTCGACAACGTTGTTGTCGAATGGCAGTTACCACCAACCCATTAATGTCTGTAGTGGACGATGAATGGGGACTAAATGAGGTACCTCCGTGATTGTTTACAATCGCGCTCAGAGGGCTCGCGTTACTAGGACAAATGGATTCGCTGTTATTTTATTAAGCTTTTTATACTGCAGGTAAAGTGTCTACAAAGGCCGGGAGCTGTGTAGATGAGTCGTAAGATTCCAGCCGCCGAGCTGTCGCGGTGTCAGTACCGAATTTCCACAGCATGTCTATAAGTAGTATATTATGACTTATATTTGCACCGGGGCATTAATGGGGTAGTGGTAACCTGGGTCGTTGCCACGTTTACGTAATACGTAACTCGACCCGCCGGGGGTTCGATTCCCCCTTAATGCATTGCTGAAGGTGATTTTCTTTTCAGTCCTTTTTCCGCTGAAACGCGAGTGCATACTCTATGCCGGTTTCTTTTTCAATTTCTCTCCGCGTGCAAAAAATTAGCATGTCCAATGATCGAAAGCATGCAGGAGGTCACTTACAGATCTAGAGTAGAGAGCTCAAGAGTCAATAGTACCTGCAGGCTCCTGACAATTCGCCCGGCCGTGAGTTCAGAGTAGGAAAACATCTTCTATTCAGACAATTATGTGACTTCGAAGCGGACCCGAAATGACTCGTCGTACATGGAGGTCAGAGAGTTTAAGTAAGGTGTTGCGTCAAAAGTTAACACTTTGACTCGGGCATGTGTGGGAACACGACGTACATATACTAGTAAGCTGACATAGCGCACTCCTTGTATTTACAGTGCGAGATGAGCGAGGGAAAGTGGGAGCGCTGAGGTTGTTTGAAAGTTTGCACGTTGCAGAGAACGTTCAGTTGAGCAGTTCTCCAATGGTCAAGCACCTGCGCTTCAGTGGGAGCTCCTTCGAGTTCTCAGCGTTCCGCACAGCCAGTAGGCAGCTTCCCTCCACGAGTGCGAATAATGCACAGGGCAATTGAGATTGTAGAGAAGTTTTCAGTTTTGTACTGTGTATCTCAGCTTCCTCCGAACAATTGCTTGGAAGTGATGAGCAAGACTAGCGTATATACATACATCACTAACAGTGCTAGGTATGGCATTAATGGACCTGTCAGCCTGAAAGATGCGTGGCATTTCTCGGCCCGCCGGGGGTTCGATTCCCCTTGATGCAGTATCAAAGGACTGTTTCAGTTTTGTACTGAAATGCGGGTGCATCCTCCTAATTACGGACTTCCCTCGTTGTGATAAGTTAAATGTACATAATACACTGACAGCTCTGAGCATACGCATTGGAAGGAAGCAAGGAAGTATTTACTGCAGCAGTCCCATCGAGGAAACAAGCAGGTACATACACACATGGACGCTACACGATGGTTTGGAAAGCCATACCCGTAAAAACTCTGCTGCCAACGAGTATACCGATCGTCTCCTCCAGTGCAGCGCAAACACGCGAAAAACGTGGCGGTGGCGACGGGCGTAACTTGTTCATGGGTAAACTAAACTGTCTTCGAATACAACGTTGTCGACCCTCGACTAGTATAAATTCTTACTGCTGAAGCATATAAATTATCAGCTTAAACGCTTTTAAAATAGACCCCTCAATGCATACGAAGGGAAGATGTATAACTTTTTTTAAAGTTGTATCCTCCGCAAAACATTATCGGATATACCAGCATCCTACCGAATCAATAGTAGCCGCGGGCACGGCCATGTAGACTATACATTAGACTTGTTTTATGTTGCATTGATGGTGTGGCGGTAAATTGGGTCCGTGACTGATTCCCATCTATACTTGGGGTTCGATCCCCTTGATGTCAACGTGGAAAAAGAAAGAAATTGTGCTTTTTTTTTTTGCTGCTGTGCATACTGGACAAAGCGGTTCTGTTACCTTGTCTGTTACCACAGCTTCTTTTTGACCTCTTCCAATTATGCATCATATCACATATCGTATCATTCGCGCAAGGATCGAAGAAGAAAAGAGCACGGACCTCAATAGTACCAAATTAATCGGTCGTGAGTAGGAAAGCATATTAGACTATTTAACGATTCCAAAGCAGAACCAAAGATCGACGCTCATCATACATGGAAGTCAGATGGCGAAGAGAAGCAGCCGAGATTAAGAGAATCTACCGCGTCAAAATGTGAACACTTGTACCGACATGTTGTGAAACTCGGGAACACGACTTACAGATAGCGGATAATGCGAAATGAGGGAAGGAAAGTGGGAGCGCGGAGGCTGTTTGTAAGTCTGCAGAGAACAAGAATGAGGGCCTGGCCGGAAAAGAAAAGACCGAGACGGAACTGCGATACCAAGTTAGACACACACTCAGTTGAGCAGTTCTTCAATATCCAAGCGCCTGCGCTTCCGCGGGGGCTCCTTCTCCGCCTGATAGCGTGCCGCGCACCAGCCGAAGTGGTTCGCGTAGGCATCGAGGTCCACGCAGCACGCGCAGCAGAGCTTGCAGTGGAGCGGGACCACCGCGCGCGCCACGCGGTGCGCCTCGAACATGTGGCGCCCGAACTCGCCGACGGGCAGCGCGCGGCTCGCGGGGCACTCGGGGCAGTCGAGCAGGCCGGGGCAGGCGGCGCAGTCGCACGCGCGCCGCGCGGCGTCCGCGTGCCGCGCCGCGACGTGCTCCGCGGCGGCGGCGGCGCCGGGCGCGACGGTCTGCAGGCACCCGGGGAACACGCAGGTGAACGGGCACATCTCGCTTGGGCCCCAGTCGATGCGGCCCACCGAGGGCGTGACGACGTCGGCGCGGAATCCCGGGTGCTTGGCGACGAGCTGGCGGACCTGCGCCTGGATGTTCTTCGCGGCCTGGGCGTACGAGTGGGGGTCGGGCGCACTATGGGAGGGCGTGTCATTGGTGTGAGGAGGGTGGGTGAAGAATGGGACACACTGAGAGCGGGCCAGGAGCAGGTCATGGATTTGGTCGTCTGATGAGCCTTCCACAGCTCTAATACAACGGTCGGCAAGAAAAGACAGTGGGAGGATGGGCCAAACTTACTTGAGGGTGGCAACATGTGTTCTGAAAGAGAATCCGTCAGGAGGGACGAAGAAGGATTGATGCCACTCACTCGAACAGGTCGTCGTCGGAAGGCCGGGGACTAGATGAAAGGGTTCAGATCATGGGACGAAACAAGAGACACGGCGCACTGGTACAACGGACGGTTGGCTGCCACGCTGGGTGCCAATGGCCGCGCGCGGACCGGCGACGACGAGACCTCAGGCGCCTCCGCACGAGGGAACACGGGCGCGTCAGCGCTATCGGCCGGCCGTGAGAGAAGTGCACGGGAAACGGGGAGAAACAGACGCACGGCAGGATAAATTCGAACTGATAAGTCGCCTGCGCCGCCGGCGACGAAGGCTCCGGCGACACTGCCGCGAGCCAGGTTTCTGTCTTGCTGTAAGAGTCTCCGGAAACTTCGTCATCCGAAGCGTAGTCCAGACCAAACAACGCGCGGGCCTCCGGGGATGGCTCGTACCCTCCGCGAGCGAGCACCACATCATTAGATCCATCAGACGACTCCTCCGCGTCGTCCGCCTGTGTGGCGACAAAGAACTCGTCGTCAGAATCCTCCGCGTCGCAGAGCGGAGGCAGCTGCGTAGGGGAAACGTGCGGGTTCGCGGCAGGGCGGTGGAAGAAGTCGGTGTCGGTGTCGTCGGACAAAGTAGAGCCACACCGCTCGGTGGCATAGAGCCTGCGAGGCACGTTGGTGGCACGGGCGGCCCGCGGAGTCGATGGGGCGTCCGAGTCGCGAGCGCCAGCCTTGAGTGGGGAAGGTGTGCAGTGAGGCTCGGACTCGTGCGGCCATGACAAAGTGGTTCTGAAAGAACGAAACGTAGGCGTTAATGCTGGCACTGGAGACGTGATGCATACATCTGAGGCTCCATCCGGTCTTTGACATTAAGACGGATGGGAAGCGGCTCGCCACCAGGGAGACTGCAACGCTTCGAATCAGTCTGGCGACACGGAGGTATAGATGCAGACTCTGACGCGCGGGGCCTTAGAGTGCATATCATGATAGGGACTGATCGAAAAGGATAGAATATAACAAGAGATTAAAAAGTAAAAGTGAGCGGCAATGCAAGAAGCGGGAGTACTTACACTGCTCCAATCCTGCGTCCCTTTATACTTCAGCGCAGCGTTCATTGTGCGCTTTGTTCAGTCACACTCAAGTGTCACAAAGGGGAGTGATAAGCCAGAGATAAGCCAAAGCGCGACAAAGGATCCAGTCCCCGAGGAGAATGATTCGTCACCAGTGGGGGACTATTGCCTGGAGGCTGGGACTGCTTCCGATTCGGCGCTGCACTGGCAGAAACTGTCACGGTCGTATAAGCAGACGCTCAAACGAAGAAACGCTTACTAGAGTTTGCTCGTATTGTCTTCGATAATAACGCCCAGTCGACGCAAGAGCGCAAACAGTTTTTACATAAGTAGTCTCGACGACTCGAAATCACGACTTGGTGTCACAATCAGTAACATCACGCTGTCCCATCTTGGTCTCCGTCTTGCTCAGGCCTCAGGCCCAGTGAGAATCCCGGGTAGGTAGATCGAGAAGGATTGAGGCAGAACGACACCTCGTGCATCGTCTCGATCTACCCCATGGATATTCCAAAGCCTCGATCTACCTCAATACACAATTGATGTACAACGAGGCTCATAGAGATACATCGAAATCACATTGAGGTGCATCGAGGTACAAAGTAAGTGCATCGAGGTACAAAGTATAGTAAAACCGCTTCACATGCACCGCCGCCGCTCCCGCCGCCACCGCCACCGCTCCCGCCACCGCTGCCGCTGCCGCTGCTCCTGCCCCTGGTCCAGTGGCCCGCCACCTCCGCCTGCCGCCACTCCCATAACCCGCTACCACTGCTCCCATCGTCGTTGCCGTTGCTACCATTCCCACAAGCTGCCGCCGCTTCCCACACCTGCTACCGCCACGCCCGCCCGTCGTTGCCGCGTCCGCCGCCATTCCCATAAGCCGCCGCCGCTCCTGCCCTCGATTCCGTAACCCACCTCCGTCGCTCTTGCCGCCGCTCCCGCAGCCGCCGTTCTTGCTACCGCTCCTGCATTCAGGAGTCCGTCATTGCCGCTTTGTGAGCCGCACCCGCCTCCGCGCTCCGCTTCTTCCAGAACTGTACGGGAAGCTTCGTCAGCCCAGCCTGTCAGTGTAAGAGCTTTGGACGTACCTCTAGCTCCTCCGCCGACAAATTCTTGAAGTAGTCGTCGAAAACATCCTTCGTCACCTTACCCTTCGTGGCGATATAATTCTTCAGACATAAGTTGCTGTATTTGTGGCCGAGAATCAGAGAAGAAAAGACGGAAAGATATGTGTACTTACCGAATCGTATTACTTGAGGTGGCGCGCAGATAAACAG